GAGCCAGGATGCGCTGACGCTCTTCCATTTTCTCTTGGATGGCATGGAGTCGGTCCTGCGTGGCCTCTGGGGCCGCCCCCAGCCCAGAGCCCTGCAAGACAAGCACAGCTTTGCTCAGGAACTGGCCTCCTTCACATTCCCCAGCCCTGCAGTGGGTGCAACCAGGAACCACCCCCAGAGAGCAGGGCACCAACAGGGCCTGTTACTGCAACCACTCAGAAAGCTCAGCTCTTGAGAGCAATGGAGAAACAGCCCCTTCCTCCTGACCTTTCTGTGCTGCTTCCCTTTCCCTGGCCTGTCTCCCTCTGTCCCTGCAGTCCTTGCCTCTGACAGCTACAGCCATTTTCCAGGGCCACCTTCAGTAACTGCACAAACCCCTTTGGTGATTCTTTCCCCATTCCTACAGCACTGCCCAGCTCAAGTTTCCACCAAGCTTTTTATTCTAAGACCTTTTATTCTACGACCTCCTCACTGAGAGAAGATTATTTGCTGGAAAGTGGACCCCAAGCTGTCATTTGGCACCCGAGGGTAGATTTATGGTGAAGATTAAGCCCTGACCAGCATCACTCGAGCCAGCTTGCAGGAACCACACAGTGAGTGCAGCACAGACCTCACCTGGCTGCACATGAGCATCCCTGGAGAACTAAATCTCACTCCACGGGGCCAGGCCAAAAGCACAGCTGCTGAAAGAGCATTTCTGTTCCTCCATTCACCTCGATCAGAATCCAGGGAACACGCTTTTATGGGATGGATTTTCTTTTCTCAAATTCAGTTTGAGAATTACTGTGGCAGATCCTTCTGCCTCAGGCAAGAAACCAGGCTTTCCCCCTGCACTGAGCACAACCTAACAAAGACTTTCCCATGGTACCTCTGCCCCACATCTGCATGGCTTCCATTCACCATTTCACAGCTTCCCTGAGGCACAAAAGCCTGTTTACATGGAAAAGCAATTCCTGGAAATCATTTGTAGTACTTTGTTTTCAAAAAAGCTGCCACTTAGCAGCTGAAAATAACAGAAATCTGCACTCAGTACTTTGCCAAGAGCTCCCCGGGCAATCTGAAGTTCTCTCTGTCTCAGCTGACATTCCTCATCATTCTTGGTGGAATCTTTCATTCAGGGCCTCCATGTACAGAGCTGCACATCACTACCTGACTTGGGCTTTCTCTCTCTCACAATATTCTTCTTCTCTCATAAGTGGTAGAAGACATACTCTGTCACAGTAGTGTTTTCCATGCTAATCTTTATTTCTAACCATCCCAGAATTGATTGCATAGTAAATGTAACAACTGGTATTGCTGACAATAATTTTCATTCTTAAACTAACACCACCCCTCTCTAAACCAAGCTTTAATCAGGCCCCAGGAGGGCTGGGTTTCATTTAAACACCAAAGCAAACAATGACTTCAGCTGAAGGGAGGCTGATTACCACAGACACCTTTCTCCTGCACACAGCTATCCCTCAGGAAGAGGAGACAGAGGGAATCCAAGGGTCAGCCCAAGTCCTGGTTTGCACCTTCTAGTTTACCAAACTGAGAGCAGCACACTCCAGTGCACCTGACACAGGACAACCCCAAAAGCCCCTCATCTCAGGAACGTGAAGAGAAAAGGGTGAAGGTGGGGGAAGGGGACAAACCTGCTTTGGCACTGCTCTGCTGCAAACAGCACCCAGAGAGGAGCCTGGCCCTGCCATCACACGCTGGGTTTGAAAGCCCTGCACTGCTATTTTCCAAGGGCTGTTCCAAGGCCCTTGAAGCACCTAAGGAGAACACACAAAATCCTCCCTACTGACAGCCATTCCAAGCCAGTCATTGGATCCAGGGATGTATCAGGATACTGAAAGGAGGAGGTTGAGGCGCTTCAAAATGTTTCCTCCTTTTTCTCTTCCAGCCTCTAAGTCCTGCTTACACAGGTATAAGCAGGTGAAATTATTTGCTTGAGATTATCAAAGCAGAAGCAGGAATATAGTCAGGTCCTGCTGTGTTCCAAAGGACCCACTCCTCACTCCACTGTGGCTTTTAACACAGACCACGCCAGCAAAGAAAACAGGCCAGAAGAAATGTGGGATCATGCTGGATACAAGCAGCAACCATTCTTCACCAGAGGGCTTACAAAGGACTAGAATTTTCTACCTGGATGCTGCAGGGTTAGAGAAAGGGATCTGACCACACTCACACTAGAGCAGAGCATGCCCACCTTCCTTGCTGAAGTCCGGTTCTTCCAGAGCAGAATCTCCGAGTCCGAGAGCCCCAGCTCCCGGAGAGAGGAAGTTTCTTTGTTGCTCTCCTCCAGGGCCTGGAACTGTGACAAGGTCAAAGCCCCCGCAGCCTCCTCCCCAAAAGGCTTGTAAAAAGCTGCAGGGGCAAAGCATCTTCGCTTCGACTTGCACCTGTGACCCAAAGCAACACAAGGGCACAAACAGCTCAGCACTGACAAACTGGGGGGACAGGAAGGGGCTGGACTCCCTCCCCAGCCACACCCGGAGCAGACCAGGACTTACTGCTCGATGGAGACAGTGGTATCAAGCTGCTGCTGAAGGAGGGTCTTCAGCTGCCTCTCCCCTTCTGTCTCCAAGTCTTCCAGGAGAAGCTCATCGCTGGACAGGCTGCTGTTGACCCTGGGGCACACAAGCCCAGCACAGAGGTGGTCAGTAAGGCACCGAGGAAAACACTGCTCAAAGCACATCTCCCCTACAACCTCTGTACCTCTTTGGCTGTTTTAATGGCAATTAAAGCACAACACAGAGCCAAAACTACTCGACCAAAGCTCCCACTAATGTTACTTGAAAAGCCAACAGACCGGGGACTACTCTGAGAACATTAAAGTACCCCGGGGACTCTTAAGGTGTTTTTATTTTGGTAGAGGTTTATTATTATTATTATTATTATTATTATTATTATTATTATTATTTCGGTAGAGGCTTTTATTATTATTATTATTATAGGTTTATTGTTATTATTATTAATATTATTATTGTTGTTTCAGTAGAGCTTTATTATTATTGTTGTTGTTGTTGTTGTTATTGTTGTTGTTGTTATTTGGGGGTTTCTTGTCTTCTTCTTTTAGATCACATGCAATAATTTTTATTGCCGGACAACTGCTTTGCATCACTCCCCAAAACAGGCACTGTCAGTTTGAAAAGGAGCCGCGAAAGAAAGAAAAACCGCGAGGGCGGAGGGAAGCTCTGAATTCCAGCAGCGCTCCATGGAAAGCTCAAGCTCCCTTTTCCCTTCCCACCGCATCCTCCGCCTTGTCCCGCGGTCAGACCCGGCTCTGACAGCGGGGCCGTGCATGGGTTCAGCCTTCCCGAGCCAGGCTCAGCCCCCCTGTGCCGGGCTCAGCCGAGCCAGGCTCAGCCCCCCTGTGCCGGGCTCAGCCGAGCTGGGCTCAGCCCCCCGGAGCCGGGGCAGCTCCGGGCGCGGGGGCCGCCCCGCAAAGGCGGCTGTCGGTGACCCCCCGGCGGAGGGGCCGAGGGGAGACGGGCAGTTTGGGACCCCGGAGGGGCAGTTTGGGCCCCCGGAGGTGCAGCCTGGGACCCCGGGTACCCCCCTCACCTGCGCATGGCCCCGGCGATCCCCGCGATCCCGCCGATCCCGGGACTCCAAGCCCCGGCAGCGCCCGCGGCCGCGCGCGGAGCGCCGGGAGCCGCGGCCCGGAAGGAATAGAGGAGAACTCTGTTTCTGGGAGAAACAGGGACTCTGCCCCGGCACGGCCGAACAAAGGAGCGCTGTAACCTCAGAGGAGAAGTCAGGTTGGGGGGTGTAACGCGGACAAGCGGGGTGCAGACTGAGCGCTGTGTGACCCAGAGGGGATAAAGAACAAACGTGACGGGTTTGGGCGGTGGACGCTGTGACTCTGTGCCTGCTCCAGAACGGAGGTCAAGACGACGAAGAAGACCCGGAAGGACCCAAAAAAAAAGGGACTTCGAATAAGGGTGTGGCTGTGTAAACTAAACTGATGACTGTGTGCTAGGTAAGCGAGAATATCTAATGGACATGTGAACGCTATGTGTAATAAAAAGCCCTATCCACCTGTCATCTGGCACCTTCGATTAGAGGAGTTATCCTCCGAACCTCCAGCGTGCTGAATAAAGAATGCCCTCTTCAACACCTACGAAGTGGTGTTTAGAAGTTTGTTTCTGCCGGGTTTCGGTGTCAGGAGCGGCCGGGAGAGCCACGCACCCGTTTAACCCCTGCTGCTGCCGGTAACTGCGGTGAGCAGTGCCTTCCCCTCCTTCAGGGACACTGCTAGACAAGGCAGGTGTGGTGCAGCAGAGGAAAGTAAATATAACATTTCCACCCCTTTGGTACTTCGCAGAACAGCTCGAAGTGCAAAGAATTTAGCATCAGGGCTAAATACATGATCGTTCACCTCCCTCGATTAGTAAAAATAGTTTGGAATGTGCATTACAGTCACACTCGTGGTCCCTCTGGGTGGTATCCCTTCCCTCCACTGTGTGACCGCAGGACACAGGTGGTGTCATCCGCAGAGTGGCTGAGGGTGCCCTCAATGCCACTGTCCCTGTCACCAACACAGCTGATAAACAGTGCCAGTCCCAACCCTGAGGACAGCACTCATCACTGCTCCCCACTGGGGCATCAAGCCCCTGAACACAGCTCTCCAGTCCCTCATCCACCGAGGGGTCCATCCATCACATCCACGTCTCAACAGTTCAGAGACAAGGATGTCACCCAGGACGGTGTCAAATGCCTGGCGCAAGTCCAGGTAGATGACAGCAGTTGCCCCTCCCTCACCCACGCTGACTGGCTATCAAGGTGAAAGGCAGCAGGCATGGCCAATACACAAACTCCGGGCACACCGCGGGGGTCTCGGTGCCTCTGGAGAAGGTGAACCCTCCCGGGCGGACACGGCGGCGCCCCGCCCCTGCCCGCTCTCGGCGGCCATTGGTCAGTCTCGCTGCCACTCAACGCTCCCGCTCCTCCGATTGGCTCGCCGGGCGGCGCGGGGCGGGGCGTTGCTATGGGGACGGGGACGCGCGTGAGGGGCCCGGGGCTGAGGGGCCGTGGCCGCCCGGCAGCGGGGCCGCGGGGACGGCGGGTCTTCCTCGGGGCTGCGGGTCTTCCTCGGGGCTGCGGGGCCGCTCGCCCTCCGCCGGCACTACAGCTGGGTCGGTCCGAAGCCTGGCGGTTGGGCAGAGATCCTGCGAGGAGTTTTGCCGGGTTACATGTGACGCGGTGTCTGCTGTAAGGGCTGAGCTGTGCTGGCAACCAGAGCCAGCGGAGCAAAAGAGTCCGTGCTGTGGGCGCGGACAGGAGAGGTTGGTTGTTCTTTCCTCGGGTTCGCTGAACCCGAAGGAACGGCACGAAGCTGAGTCAGGGCAGGGTCAGGTTGGATCTCAGGGAAAGGTTCTTCCCCCAGAGGGTGGTTGGCACTGCCCAGGCTCCCCAGGGCAGTGGGCACAGCCCCGAGGCTGCCAGAGCTCCAGGAGGGTTTGGACAACGCTCCCAGGGCCATGGTGGGAGTCTTGGGGTGTCCTGTGCAAGGCCAGGACTCGGGCTCGATGATCCTCATGGGTCCCTTCCAACTCAACCTATTCTATGATTCCGTGTTCCATTTTACATGTTTTGTCATCACACCTACAACAGTGTGGCTAAAGTTATCCCTGCAGGACACACAGATGAGAAAATGTGCTTTACAGACTGTACAAAACACACCTGGTTTTCTCTTCATCTGTCACTTGTTTTTTCCTGCATAGGTGAGCAGTGGGTATGGATATGGACAGTGTTTCTTCAGGCTCTTCCCTGCAGTGCCTTGCCAAATTACTACGTGATGCTCAAAAAGAGGAGGAGGAGGAGGATGTGGTGAGAATAAGAATTCATAAGAATTGCTGCTTCTTTTACATACTGTACCATAGCCTAACCTTGTTAACCGAGGAAAAGCAAATCTCTCCTTCCCCAGAGTGTGTAAAAAGAGAATGAAAACTCTAGAAGGTTTTGGACTGACTGGAACAGCTGGAAGACACTTTTAGAGTAACAAGCTCTTGAGGGAGAGAATAAGGAAGATGCCCCAGGAAAGCAAGGACAGATTGTGAGCACAAAATAAGAGGGAGGTTTAATTTTTCAGCCTGAAGGAAATGAGAACACCTAGCTGAAAGAGCTTGAGAAACTTTAGACTTCCCCCTACTTTTCCCTGAAGCCTACTGGAGATGAAGGCAATTACAGCTAAATACTTCATATGATGGGAAAAAAGTTGCTGCTCAACTTCTGACTAAAATATCCGGAGGCAACTGAGTGTACTAATTGTGTTTGTCAGGCATTGGAGAACTGCAGAGAAAATTGATCACTGAAGTGCAATAGATGTTTTGGTGGTTGTAGAATAGTGAAAGGTGAATAATCATTCTAAGATGAATAATCTGAATGGATAATGAAAGAAATATCTCTCCACTCTTCTGTAGCAATTTATCTCAGGACAAGATGAGGATCACAGCTTTTGGAAAAACTGCACTGTTCCTGCAGCAATGCCTGTGTGCTGGGGAGAGATATTCCCAGGAGCCCCACAGGTGGCAGTGATGTGAAAGGCCTCTGTGAGGGCTCAAAACTTTGCCAAGTTTCTTGGAATTTTGAACAAATCATGTTATGACATGGATGACAAAAATGGCAAATGCCTCAGTGTTCTTCCAAATCATTCCTCAACAAAGAGACAGCTGGCTGACCCAGCAGTTGTGCCCCTGGGCACAACTTGGAAATGGGACTAATATTTGGGATAAAGGGGGTGTATGTCCCTTGAAATTTCCTTTCAGTAGGGTATAGATGTTGTCCTTCACACTCCAACTACCCTCCAGCTGTTTGGTGCCTGCCTTTTAAAACTACCATTATTGCTGTACATCTCTGCAGTAAACATCCTGATTCTAAAAGAATTTGTTTACATCTTATTAATAAAATGAATGGCACTTCAGAGACAGAAATGGAAAATTGCCACGAGGGATGTCAATTAAGTCTGAGTCAATCTGGGTAAATTGAAATCTTTATTTTGATTTAATTTAATGCTCTGTGCATATGAGGCACTTTTATCGAACCAAGGAATCTTCATATATAGAGAAATGCCTCACATTGGCCTATTAGCACTAAATTGATTCATAATTAGAGGAAAATATTGTTACCTTATATGATCTCTACTGTCAAAAGGAATCCAAATACTGTGATGGGGTTTTCATGTAGAACCCTTGGTTTCCTGTAATATTTTCATGGCAGGCAAAGCATGAAGATGTTGGCAGAATGCCATGGAAACTAAAACTCAAAAAGCACATCTGTCTGTATTACTGGGCTTCTGGAGTCCTGCTTAAGCCCAGTGTGTCAAGGTCACTTTCTGCTGTGTGAGAGTGAAGAAAAAAATATTCAGTGGTTCAGTCATGAAACTCTGGGATAATGTTTTGTGGATTCTAGCAGGGATTTGTTTGACCTCAAATACAGACAGCATTTTATATTTACTGACATTATGGTTGTAACTGAGCTTGGGTCCATCAGAATTGGTTGATCCATTTGCCTTTTTTGCAGTCACGCTGCAGTTCTGTTGGTGCCATGACTCCTGGGAGTATTGGGCCAGTAAAGAAACAGACCACTGGTAAGGAGGAGTGTTTGTGTGTTTTAGCATTCAGTCCTGTGTCAGCAGACTTAAACAGCTGTAGTAAGTTACCACTGAAGGGTTTGCTTCAGTAAAAGAGTGGTCATCGACCTTTGAGATGGACTTTGCATCACATTGTTACAGTTACTCTGTATAATTATTCTTTTCCTGAAAGCTTAACTGTAAAATATGCAAAGAGAAGCAGAAAGGGTTCTAAAAACCTCCAAGTTTTAAATTAACCAGCTTACTAGAAAAAATACTTTTCCATGCAGGACAGGCATAAATCATACTATTCTGCCCATAAACTTTCTTCAGCACTTTAATTAATGAGAAAAACTGGATTTCTGTGTGAGGAGAAGGTCCTCTTGTGAATCTCTGCTCACTGAAAAAATCTTATGTCAGGGGGCTTGGGGGAAATTAGTATTTTGTCCTTTTACACTTTATCCATTTTGAAGCATTTGATGTTTTGTGCCTGAAAGGAGGATTTCTTGGACCTAGAGGTTCTGTAAAGATTTAGGTGAAAGGAAAACATCCTCCCTCTGCAAATTCTCATTCATAAGATACTGAGGTAAAGGAGACTGTAATTACCTAGAATGCTTTTAATGCAAAGATTTACCCAGAAATATTTTTTCCTAGGCTTTAGAAATGGCTTTTCTTTTCTTTTCTTTTCTTTTCTTTTCTTTTCTTTTCTTTTCTTTTCTTTTCTTTTCTTT